ATATTATGGAATGCACTTGCTATAATTTTATTTTTAAGATATCACACACACCTATATAAAGTCCATGTAAACAGCAATCGTTTTTCCACAGTTGTGACAATGTGTAAGGTAGTCTGAGAACTACTTACCAGCGTGCTTCAAAACATTTGTGGAACAGTTCCATTGTTTTAATCCCATTTTTCCATGAAGTTTTTGAAGCTGCCTTGTGTGTGTGTGTGTGTGTGTGTGTAAGACATTATATTAAAGATTTTCTATTTATATTTTGTCACTTATTGTCACTGCTAATGTCACTTCCATTATATAAAAGTGTTCTAGAGGAATAAGAGGTAGCTGTGAGCTAATATAGGCATCTCATATGTCACTAAAATAAATGAAAATTACAATAATTTTGGGTGATAATGCTTGACAGAGTAAGTCTTTGCCAAGACTCATTTCCTACTCTTGTTTTCTTAAAATGGATGCCAATGGCTTATTATTGTAGAGACAAATAATAGTTCAAAGGACTTTTTTATTTTGATTTGACAATGAACCCCAAACTAGGAAGCTTGATTAAGAGTTTATGAGAATTTTAACATCTACATAAGAATACTTCTTGAGAACTCTAGTTATAAGTTAAAGAAAAATGGTTTGTGAAAAGACATATTTGAACATTGTTTTGAAAAAGGTTGTTGAATAAAACTATGATGTCTGCTCTATAAACTCTCACCTAATTTACAACAGCAAGTTTGAAAAGAAATAATACAGAAATAGTTTTAGAAAAGAAATATTCAAATGTTTTTCAAAAGAAAGAAAATCAGTTCTTGAAAGAAATGTCTGAAAACCTCAACACTTCTGAAAATGATTTAATATTAAAATCAATCAGTGAAACACATGATATAGTTAGTTGCCATGTCGTTTACTTACCTTTATTTCATTTTATGTGCCAGCCAGTTGTGAAAGATGCCTCCTGCTTTTCCTCCTTGTGTACCATGGGGATCACAGTTGACCTGAGTGAAATGTTTGAACTACTTGAGACAGTCCATTATAAACTCAAGGGTCCCTTCAGGGTTATTTTTTCTATGATAATGTAGGGGAGTAGGAACTGAAGCTTAAAAAATTAAGCTTGTTGGAGACAAAAAAAGAATTCTAAAATGTGGCAAAGGAATAACATTTGCCATGCTTGTTTTTTTGTTTACAACTAGGGATACCTAAGCCACTTGGGTACAACAGGGACTTATTAGACCTCAGATAACGTACATTACTGCTACTCTCATTTTCAGGGGAACTTTGGCTTTTGGCTACAGCCAGGGCCTGATTTAATGAGTCAGGGTTGATAGGAGAAGGGGAGAGGTTTTCTTTTTGACTATACATTGATATACCTCCAGAAACAAAGAGGGACTTCAATTAGCTCATTATGATAAAGGTTAAATAGGCATGACTGTAGCATTAAGCATCTTTCAGTTATAAATTTCAAAATCTTAATGAGTTAATAGTATACATATATGCCTTTTTGATATCTGAAGTTATTTTGTAAGTTATTTGTTCCATTTAAAAGTGCTCTTTAGCAACGATGAAACATACAACTTTCCTCTAGTTCCTAAATGCTTCCTCCTCCCCGCCTTGTCATGATCCAAATTCTACCTTTCAAGTCCGGCTAGACCAGAGG